CAATCTTCCCCAAATTGTCTGGTCTACCCCTTCACCTACGTGTCCTGATAGTTTTTCGTCTACATTCTGCACTATCATTGCGGATTACTTTTTTCACCAGTTGGTACTTCAACCTACCCGCGAGCAAAATATTCTCGACTTGGTTTTCATTACAGCCCCGGAGCTGGTAAAGGATCTGGAAATTTGTCAACCTGTTGGTGGATCTGATCATTGTTCCATTGAATTCAATCTAAAATTAAAATTTCAGAGACCAAAACGTAGTTGCAGGCTTGTTTAAAACTATCGTGCCGCAGATTGGCTAAGTCTACGTGAAGATTTTTGTAATCTGCAGTGGGACTGTTCATATCTTATGGAGTCTGTGGATGATGTTTGGGATGCTTAGAAATTATTATTTTTCCAGGCTGTTGAACGTAATATTCCATCAAAACAACCTAAACCCCAGCGTAACGCACCATGGTTAAAGGCCGATCTACGGAAATTAATTCGCAGGAAGCGCAGATTATGGAAACAAGCTAAATCCTCTGGGGACCCCGCTAATGGGTTAAATATAAAAGACTAATTAACTGCGTGAAAGACCAATTAAACAAGGCCTACTGGAACTATGTCAACGATTTAACAGCTTCATTATAGACCAACCCCAAAAAATTCTGGTCTTTTGTCAAAGCGCGCACAGGCAATCGTAGCGTGGCGAGCTGCATCGAGTACGAGGGACAAAGAGCATATACACCACTCGATAAAGCTAACCTTTTCAACAGTTTCTTCCAGTCTGTTTACATCAAGGTCTCAAAAGCAAGTAATTTCCAGAATTCTAATCAGCTGACCGAACATGTTATAGGAGACTTATCTTGTAGCGTAGAAGAAGTGACGAAACTACTTCAATAAATCGATGTCAATAAAGCATCTGGCCCTGACAATATTTCTCCAAGAGTACTCAAGGAATGTGCTATGGAATTGGCCCTACCCCTGACAATCTTTTTCAACTTCACTTTGTCTCGGGGGAATATTCCAACTGATTGGAAAGTTGCAAATGTTGTGCCAATATTCAAATCTGGCAAAAATAACCTGGCAGACAACTATCGTCCAATCTCATTGACTAGCGTCGTTGTGAAAACGTTAGAGCGCTTGATCCACAAGCACAATCTCCTCTACAAATTGGAATGCTATGGTATAAAAGGCCAGATCTTAACTTGGTTAAGGGATTTTCTCACGTCAAGGAAACAGCGTGTAGTGATTGAGGGTCATGCGTCTGACAGGTTAAATGTTACATCTGGTGTGCCCTAAGGCAGTATACTTGGGCCTTTGCTGTTCCTTGTATACATCAACGATCTTCCTTACTCTGTATAGATTTTGTTGTTGTTGTTGTTTTTTTTGTTTTTTTTTTTGGAGGGTATGTCTTAGCATGGGAATTTAGTTTCCCCCTACTACCGTCCTGTCAACCATTTTTGTACTTTTGTTCGATGTATGGTTACGAACTGTGATTAAAGTAAGAATTCGAAGGATAGGATATTTTGAATCGACAGCAAATACCTCCATGGTTTAGAAATTTTCTGCCCGTCCAGTTTTCTATTTCTCTCAAATTTCCTTATTTGTCTGTTTTCGGTTTTCTTTCTTTTTCCTATGCGTGAGACAAGGAACATTTTCAATTGGTGGAATTAACCGATTTTCATCTGATCTCGGAGAGATGTTTTCCACCAGACTTTTAACTCACAAGTTGTGAGCTCTTTGCGTTATTTTCTTTGTTCCCTGCTTTGTTCAGCATCCTCTTGAGGGAATGAGGAGAGAGTCTGGTAGCTACGGTTGTGTGACATGAAAGACGAGACGGCTTCAAAATCATCAGACGGTCCCGGTGCTGAGTATCGAATTGCCCAAGAATGTCTTCAAATCCAACTTACGACGTTTGTGTCATCGGTGCTGGTGTGGTGGGCAGCTCCACAGCCCGTTACCTGGCTTCCCGAGGACAAAGAACACTTCTATTAGAGCAGGTACTAAATATAGGTTAATTCATGTGAGGATCTTTCAACACTGTGAAGAGTATTCTGCATTATGTAGTGATTATGAAATGATTTCAATCAGTATACTAAGATCCGTTTTTTTACAATAGTCTACAGGTTCAGAACCACCTAAACTGAAAAATTAAGATGATAAAGGTCTCTCATATGACTAGATGTTGTTACTGCTTTTATTTTGCTATTGCGGTCCTAATCGGCCAGCCTCGGGGCCTATGGGGAATCGTTGAGTGATCCGTTATAACTTCCAACTTAACTTAATTTAACTTAACTTAACGTTATAACTTCCACTCAGTAGGGGCTAAAAGTGATAAAATAAACTCATTTTCGTTATTGACCATTTAATATACAGTTTATTGTCAGAACGCGTCAAAAAAGGCAAGGACAAATTGGCAGCACAGCGCGAGTCACGAGCAGGTCAAGAGGTCATCATGATACTGCAGTGAAAAAGAAAGCACTTGCAGGGACGTAGCCAGGTATTTCAAAGGGGAGGGTGGACCGGTTTTCGCCACCTGAATATAGTATGTTGTGTGCTTAAAAAAAAGGTTTACAAAGGGGGCATGCCCTTGAGTTTTGTCCTTGTTAACAGCTTTATTTCTTTTAATCAAGTTTCCTCTTCCTCACTGGCGTGGCAGTTCTCATGGACAGACTAGAATCATTCGTTTCTCCTATGTTAACCCTTATTATTCTAAAATGGTTCGAGAAGCTGGTGAAATGTGGAAGGAGATTGAAGAAAAAGCAGAGCAGGAAATTCTTATCAAGTAGGTGCCTGGAAACAGCCAGCCGAGAGGTGGGGGGGGGGGGGGGGGGGGGGGGGGTTACTTTCTAATAATAGGCTAATGAGGATGTGTCGCAGGATGGGGTTGCATTTTCACAACTGGATTGATAGTGACTTCATGATATGTGGTCTATAATTAGCCACAGAATAGACTTTAATTGGGCAGGGTGTTCTGAGAGGCCAGTGGCACATACTCTGCAAAAATTGACCCAAGTGCTCCCAACCCCTTCCCTGGCCCTGAGAGGCCAAGTGCGGTAAATCTGGATTTATGAATGCAAGGAGAACTTAGCCAAGTTCAGTAAATCTTGATTTATGTATGCAAGAAGGACTTAGCTTAAAAGTACTCTGAATGAATAATTTCAGAACTGTTGGACTGTTAACAGTGGAAGGAAGCTCTGGTGAAAATCTGAGAGAAGTTAGAGAATCACTTGATGCAGCAGGAGCAAGTTATGATATTTTGTCAAACCAAACACTTAAGCAAAGATTTCCAGAGTTGAGCTTTCCGCCTCACTACAAAGCTCTGTTAGAACACTCAGCAGGAATTTTAAAAGCTGATAAATGCTTGAGAGTGTTGCAGGTACAGCTCTGTTTCATACCTTGTGCAATAGCTCTTGTGATTTCATGAAAACTTGGAGCCAAAAAGTTATTTTAGTCCTGTTGTCTGAATTGTTTGAAGGATCAGTTTATTGCATTTGGTGGCACACTAAGAGATGGTGAGGGTGTGGTTGAAATACATCCAGGATCATTAATTACAATAAAGACCACAAAGGATTTGTTCAAAGCTCACAAAGTGATATTAACAGCAGGTAAAACACTTATCTCTGTCATGAAACTTGAGGTTTTTTTTATTTAGATCTGTGGTTTTTTAAAGTTTGCTGTAGACCAGGAAGCAGTGAATGATTAGTTGGGGTTCCCTAAATGGGAAATTTCCTCGACCTTGCTGGAATGTATTATTGTTAAATGGTTGAGAATGTACTGAAAATAAAAAAATTTGTTGTCACAGGTAGTAAAAACTACAAGGTGAATGAACTGAGTCTTTAAGCTGTATGTGAGTTATTTAAAAAATAATGTCATGCATACTAGAGCTGCCGTAATTGGTGATCTTTCACCATTGCTTCTAGAATACCTGCTACACCCTACAACCAACCATGAACAAAGGAAATGATTCAAACCCTTTTTTGGTAAAATCTAATTATGTACTTCTAAGTTGAAATCTTAAAGTGAATCTTTATTTCAGAAGATTTTGCCAGAGACTATTTTTACTTATTATTCATACTATTCATACTTTTTCAAGGACCCTGGACCAATAAACTGCTAAAACCTGTGGGAATTACCTTGCCTCTAAAGGTAAGAGTTGAACACTGAAAATTCTCATAGTTTCCTGACATTGACATTGTCAGTTTTGCAGATTATTGTTGCATAAGGCCCTGACCTTTGAAGATCTTCACCTCTTTTTTTAACCATCAGCCACTCAGAGCCAATGTTTTTTACTGGAAGGTGAAAAAAACAGGCACATACAGTCTTCAGAGTGGTTTTCCTACATTTTATGATGATACAGCATCTGACCCTCGCAAGTTTTATGCACTCCCTTCATTTGAGTATCCTGACATGGTTAAGGTAATATTTACTGAAGGTAACATTCGTAATATTCATTAACATAACACTAACTGGCAATACAGCTTTAAGTGAGTATCACAGGGTTTTCATTAAAAAACGAATCAGCAGGAGAATTGTGTAGAGGAACTAGAGAATACTCTCCTTGTCTGAAAAAAATAGCTATGTTCCCATGTAAAATTCTTAAAAGTTAGAAAAATTAAAAAAAATTGTTTGAGAATTTTCTTGTGTTCTCCAATAGCTAGAGACAATCCTGGTAAGAGTTGTTTATGAAGCGAGAAATCAGGAATAATCATCAGATCAATCTCATCATTGGTGGATTTTTGTCTTTTAAAGTCTGACCATGAGTTCTACCCAGGATGTCGAAATTGTATTAAGTGTGTGCCACTAAAAACAATCAGTCAATTTATTTTCAGAATTACCCTTACTTGAAAAGATTGATTTTTTTGTCACAGTTTGGGCCCTCTGGTGGATGCAGATTACCAGAAGTTTGCATGGAAATTGATCCAGATGCAAGAGATTGGGACAGAGAAATCGAAGAGAGGATTATTCAGAGAACAAGAGAATACATCCAGCATCACTTTCCATACCTTGATCATCATGAGCCAACCATAGTAGAAACTTGTATATACACAGTATGTGTTGAGTCTAAAAAGTTAACACAGAGGTCATTGTGCTTAGCTCTACCATTTCCCCTTAGTTGGGTGTGAGACTTACACCTGCAGTTAAAAATCTTTTATCTCACACCAGCTCACCCCTACTACTTACTTTCTCATGCCTGATGAAAAAACTTGTGTTACAGCTTTGTTTAGCACATTTTCTAATGATGTTAGTGAGAGAAACTCAGATTAGAGGTTCCAGAAAAGAGAAGTATTGTGACCACCCCTTCCCAAAGTATTGGGATCACACACCTCTGATTTTAAAAGTAAGAGGAGGTTATGTGGAAACCCCTTGACAATAATTTAGAAATGAGGAGTTGTCTAGATATAACTGAGCTCTGTACAAAAAATCTTGGCATTCCCAGTGTTATAATCTCATTTCTTTGACGCAGAAAAGGAGGTACACCTAATGCAATTACTTGGACAGTTCTAGAATTCACTTTAGCAATGAATCAATCTTACATGCCAGATACACTTTTTTTAATTTGACTTAAAGACTTTTTCAATGTTTCCTCAGGGAAAAGTGGTCAGGAGAAATAAGGTTGACCAAACTTAATATGAAATTGTTTTTAAATCCAGCTGACCCCTGATGAGAATTTTGTGTTGGATAAACATCCCAAGTTTTCTAACATTATTATTGGTGCTGGCTTTTCAGGTAATTCATTCTGCATTGTTGTGATCTAATCGTCCTTTGACACTTCTAACAGAAGAAAATAGATTTGCTTTTAATGTTAAAACTCTAAACATTGTAACTTCTTAATTTAAGTGACCTTACATATAGAGGTTTCAATAACAGCTGGTTACCATCCCTTTCAATTGTTAAAATTGTCTACAATTTTTTTGTATCTTTTTCTCAGCGCATGGATTCAAGCTTGGTCCTGTTTGTGGCAAGATTTTAGCACAGCTGGCCATGAATGAGACACCAACCCATGACTTGACACCTTTCAAGATTTCAAGATTCAAGTTTAGTCAGCAGAAATCCTCACTCTGATCGAAACTTAGGATTTGATAAAATTGTTTTAACTCAGTACTTAGCCTCTTACAAGTTAGCCAAGATTTGTTGTTACCACTATTCTGTTATCACTTAGATGGTGCTCATGATGAAGACAATAAACACAATCACCACTCCAGATTAAAGCCAACTAAAAAATCCTGGTGCCGTCCCTGAGACATTAGAGAAATCATTTACCTCTAATTCTACTTGATCTATTATAGGAGTTTGGGTTTTAACCCTTTAACTTCCAGAAGTGATCGACATGTAACTTCTCTCTATTGTATTCATACATCATCCAGCATAATTGTAATGAGAATACTTAACCTTATCTGGTAAATGTCTTTATCTTGATCTAACACCAAACTCTTTAACCAATTTACATGGAAATGTGTAGCAGCTAGAGGGGAGCTTTAAAAATCAGATCCTGGGTTAAAAGGCTCACTAAACTATGCAGTGCAGTCTTTTACTTCCCCTTCTAAGCAAATTGAGTGAAACATGTGAGAGCCATGCCCTCTTAAACAACCTTTTTTATATCTCATGTGAAGTGGATGTTCAATTCTCTAAGAAAGGGCTGTCAGGTAAAGGAAACTACCTTGCAACAAACCTTTTTCTTTTTTTCATCAGTTTTTGGTCCTACCTGTGCCAATGAAGAGAGAGGAGGAATAGTTCCTACCCCAAGTTTTCCTTAGCTTATGCCTTGGGTCATTCCTTTTTCAGCACTACTTGTTCAGTCAATTTAATTTCTCTATCCTGTTTCCCGCTTCTCTTCTCTAACCTCCATTGTCTCCTTTTTTCCATGTGAGCGACTCCCCCGGCCCCCACCCCCCACACTAATATCCCACAACGAATAGTCTTCGTTCCCAGACTCCTTTGCGTAGGAGTTAAAAGTTAGTCTGTTCAGCGGATTATTCTAAAAGTTTGGTAGGTACGTCATGTATGGGCACATATTAAGTCCTCAATACATATTATGTCCTATACTTTACATACAATACCCTACGCACATACAGGGCTAAACAAGGCTAGATACAGCTATACACAGCTATACAAGGCTATACAGAGCTATACCCAGCTATACACGGCTATACACAGCTATATACAGCTATACAAGGCTATACACAGCTATACAGAGCTATACACAGCTATACACAGCTAAACAGGGCAATACACAGCCATACAGGGCTATACATAACTATACAGGGCTATACACAGCTATACAGGGCTATACACAGCTAGACAGGGCTAT